TTGGTAACTTAAATATTATTTTCTTCTAACTCATTTATAATCTCTTGTAACAACTTTTGAAGTATAGTGAATTGAAAATTTTCTTTCTCTCCCAGACGTAAATCAATTGATCAAATTGGCTAAACAAAGCTTATGTGTTTCTTACCTTCTTTTATCTTCTTCTGCCAAGTTAATTCATTGTCTTATTGCATTGAAAGTTATTTTTGCTGAAGGTGATTTATTTTAGTTGTCGTTGTTCTTTGTTTCCCCACTGTTTACAGTGATTTCTAGTAAACAACCGCTAGTCTTCCAATTTATTGATTATTATTGGTTACTTGCATGATCGACTAGATTGATCCTATGACACATGTGTCATAACTCATTTCTATGTTCATACCCATTATCTTGATAAATTTATATTGTATGTTAATGTCGAATGTGAGATTCTTAAGAAATATCTCTAAGATTGTCTATAAAAATAAACTGACTGAATGTACAAAGGAAAGACTTCGAATTAGACTTAAGATTTAATACTTGAATGTAAAGATAAGGAGTTTATGAGAATATAACAGTTTCTGGAAATATGAAGTGTTTGAACAAAAGGATAAAGTAAAAGTGAAGTTTCTAAAGAGATAAATGTGTTTGAAAGCAAGTAAAACAAGGAAATAAAAGGAAATCGAAAGATTTAAGAGCAAAAGTACTGTAAAAGTGAAAGAAATATAAAAAAACTTGTATTGAAATTATAAAGAATCATGATGTTCAATACGTACATTTTATCTTCTAACTCGTTTCCCTTAAGTCACGGTAATTTGAGTGTTTGAGATTTTTTAGTACACGAAATGAACACCCCAATTCTAACATAAAAACACCTATTTATAGTATCCTGACCCTAACGGTCCTACTCTAAAATCATGCCACGTTCAAAGCATGCAGGCTCCTTACGTTTACTGACTTCCACGCGTCTTCTAAGAATGGCGCTCTTATTTGAAATTTGAACCATGTGCCAGCGAAGTATTTTGCTAGTTTTCTTCGATTCGAATTAAACCATTTGCCTGGACCGCTTCCAATTCTGGCACATTTGCACAAAGGAACTCTTTATATTTTAAACACTAAAAATCCCAAATCGAAATCCATCATCTATCACTGGAAATCGAAGAGTCTTTTAGAACAATGATTCTATATTTCCCACCAATATTCATCATTGATATCAACCTCCTTATATGCTTATTCGAAATATTGTTTTGATATCCAATTATTCTTTATTCAAAATTTCCAGCTAACAAATTGCCCCTCAAGAACATGTATTTCGATAGATATAAAGAAATACTTGTTTTTGAATTATCCATGCAATTTCGAGAGTATCAAAACTCATGATGACAATACTGCACACGATGGCAGAGTAAGTGTCCAACTTTCTGCAAAACGTCCAATCATCATACCTAAACGTGCAATCACAGCAGTTATAGCTAATAATTAGCAGCAAAACGTCACTTCCCTAGGAAGTTCAAAAAATCCACCTTTTCTCTTTCCAATGAGGGAGTTACACGTATCCCACCTTTTATCAAAGGTCAAAAAACCTTTAAACCGTTGAGGAAGGCTATAAAAGCACTTCATCTTCTTCAATCTCCTACCCGTCCCACATGATTTCCCTATCCCATTGGAATCCATTTGGACGAAGGGTTAAAGAATAGTAAGCATTCTCATTGGGCTCGAAATATTCCTCAGGCGGGTGAGATGGCCCTATGTTGGCCATATTTCGATTGAAGTTTCTTTTGTCCACGTTGTTGATTTCTGTCATATAGTAACTTTGGTCTGCTTCTATGTTTTCGACAATTCCATCGTCTCTCCACAACACCAACCTTTGATGTATCGAAGAAGGCATTACGCCAATTCTATGGATCCATTCCCTGCCAAGCAACATATTGTAGTTTGCCTTCGCAGCAATGACCATAAACATTGTTGGTCTTGTGAGGGAACCAACTGTCAAGTTAACTTGTATTACTCCCAAAGTCTGACCAACCTTTCCTTCATAATTCGAAAGCACCATGTTGTGAGGTCTAACATCTGAATCCTGCATGCCTATCCTTTTTAGCATGAATCGAGGCATCAAATTAACAGCAGCTCCACCATCCACCAGAACCTTGTTCACACCATATTGCTCCACCTTTGCCCTGATGAATAAGGGTTTTAGATGGTTCTTCATTCCTTCATATGGCTTTTCGAAGAAAGCGTTTTGCTCTTCGACCGCTCCATTGTTCATCACATAATAACACATTGGCCTACGTCTGGCCATTTCGTCCTCGTCAGTCTCCTCACCAGCATAAACCTCTGTATCCTGATTGTACTCACAAGGCAGCACCGAAACTACATTGCAGTTTGCATTAAAGAAGGATTCCCCCTCCGATTCGAAGTCATCAGTCATCAAGTCCTCTTCGTTTGCAGCCTCCTTCTGAGTCTTATTTTCTTCAGTGTCTTTCTTTGGTGAAAAAAGTTTCCTGGACACTGGGGGTTTGCCCCCAGTCTGGTTCACTGATGTTGGGTTATTGGTACTAGATTCTCCTATCCCCATAGGCTTCGAATCCCTTTCTGCTTTTTTATTTCTCTGGTGTCTGCGCCACTGAGAGCGAGACATTGGATTTTTGCCTTTGTAATTCTCCAGCTTATTTCTTCCCTCCTATTTGAATTGAATTGCTTCCTGTAAGCCATCGCAGTCCTGCCTCCTTGGTCATAGCTGCGCCACTTCCCTTTTCCCTTATCAGCCTTCACCTGCAGCCATCTGTCAGTGGGGATTTCTGCAGGTAGTTTAAAGGAAACTTTCTTTGCTCCCCTGGGGTAAGGGCTATCTGGCCTCCTTGGCATATTTCTTCCAGTGTTAACAGGATTCGAAGGCATTCTGCCTTGGTGCCCCCAGCCTGATGCAAACGGAATTCTCTCGAATGCTTCAGCCATTTCTTTACCATACACCGTTGCACATCTGGGACTGTTGTACCCCAAAATTTGCCCTCGCGCTTTTCCACAAAGAAGTCTCAGCTTCAAGCATTTCCTGACTTCTCAAACTGGCTCAAGAATCGTACAAACGGACTTTTCTTGACGGTCAAGCAAAACTAGGGTTTTTTACTGATTTTCAGAGCTCTGAATTGTTTCATACAGTGGGCTTAGGGTTTGATTGATTTTTGGTTCAATTTTGATCAAGCGAGCGTGATTTGGCATTTAATCGGGAATTAGGGTTTTACGGGCATATTCTCAGAAGAATTTGAATTCCATGGCACTTCGCGGTTTATTTCAAGATTCGGATCAAAATTCGCATTATCTTGGTTTAATCAGCAAAAGAGACAGTGGTTTTGAATTCAGTACGTTTTGATTGGGCCAGTCAGATACAAGTCTTGAATTCACAGTGTTTATGTGTTGATCAGTTTACTTGGTTTAATTGCTGCTTTGCTTTGGATGTTGGATAAGACAGGTTTATTGGATTAATGTTGTTTTATTTTAGTTATTTATTATTCTAAAATTAAATGATTGAATTTATTTTTCAATTGTTTTAATTCTAAGAATTTTAAATAAATAAATAAACAATAAAGAAATCAGAATTAATTGGATAATTTAAACTTTTATTGATATTTGAATTATTTGTACAAATTGTTGTTTATTACAAACAAATAATTTACATTTAATTTAAATATTACATAGAATTAAAATTATCCTATTTTCTAAACATTCTCCGTTCTTCATTCCGCTCCGGTATTCCATTTTTCATCTGCAAAAAGAAAGAGAAACAAGAAAAGTCAAAAGCAGTTAATTGGAAAAGACAGTTAAATTGCTCATCATTAGGGGCCACTGACTGGGATCAGTTACCCTCTCTGCAAATCACGGGATTTCTCCCGGTTCACAGAGAGGGAAGATTATTTTATCTCATGAAATGCAAATGTCAAATGCATAGTTTCTAAAAATTGCAAGCTGCATAGAATCAATGTCCAATTCAAACCATGTATTTCAAATCCAAACTGAAAAAGTTCAAATCCAAACTTTCAATCCAAAAACAAAGTCCACCCAAAGAAAATCAATAAAAGCATAAAGCTGTCAAAGAAGATTTGAGGAAAAGATGTCAAAATGCAAAATCTGTCCAAACTGTCAAAAAGTAGATGCAGTAGTGTATGATGCAAACTATCTTTTTCATCATTTCCCACAAAAGCCCCTTCAGAACAGTACAGAAAAATCATATTAAAATCCTAAGCTGTACTTTGAGAGAGAGAAAAGAGATTAAAGCAAGCAGGGTTTAGGCATAGTTCAGGCTCAGCAGTCCAATGGCAGTCCAATAGCAGTTCAATAGCAGACAGCAGGCAGGTGAGAAGAGAAGAAAAAAAAGATATACAAAAGATATCCAATAGCAGTTCAACTCAGTTCAAAAGATATAGATAGGGATACCAATATAGCAGCAGGGCAGGTTAGGCAGAAGCAGGCAGGATAGAGAGGAAAAAAAGATACAAGAACATACAAACTCAGAACCTGCATTGGCCTGAGACTTCAAAAACCCAACCTACTGTAAAACTCAGAAATAAAAACAGCATAAACCTCATACCAGCATATACCTCAAACCAGCATCAATGCCTTAACCTGCCTGTCAAAACCTCACATAACATGCTATCATAACCTCAAAACCCTTACCCTGTAAAACATCAAGCTGAAACCTGCATATGCTAAGCCAAACAATTAACCATCACAAGCAAAAACCTGCCAAAGATTGAAACCTGAACAACCATCAAACATGACCAAAACAAACCTGCTAATGCCACAATCCTAACCACCAAAAAAGACACAAAACTGATATCTCAAACTCAAGCCTCAACCTTCAAACAATTTTTACATCCTGATAATCCAAACTCAGAACTCAACCAAAACCAATAACCTCATGTCCAAACTGATCCAACACTGAACATTCCAACACCTATGCCTTCAGAACCTTTTCATCATTAGGCAACACACAGGGCAACGAGAGAAAGAAGCAAGTCAGGGACACAAGCAAATCATCCCAAGGCAACAACACAAAGGCAACAATCCAAGGCAACTGTGAGAGAAGAAGCTATCAGAAGTTCATCAAGGCACACTATTTCCAAAACCAAACATAAAACCCTCAGAACTTTGAGTTCATCACAGGGTCGGGGATCAAACACTAAAAAGCCTATCGATCTCAAAGGACCAGCAGCAACACTCAAGTCAACATAATCAACATAAGCTGGCATACAGCAATACTAAGGGACAGAAGTAGAAGAGGCAAAGTGGATAAAGAGATACAGAAGTACCAAGTGTCTTCCAAGGCCAGCTTCACCGTACAAGCCCTCCAGCGCTGAGCCTCCTGAGCATCCTCCTCCTCTTTCTTCCCTCCATCCAGGTAGTCTTCCCTCCTCTCTTAATTATACCACATGCCTCAGGACACAACAGTAAATTGGAGTTAGAGTCAATAACCAAAATCACAAACGCACAAAATTGTAAAAACCCTAACGAAATTAGGAGAGCATCTGTACCTTAGATCGATTGCCTTGATGACGTCGTTGGGAGGAGAAAGAGGTGGAGGTCGCTGGTATGCTCAGGCGGAGAGACTTGGTCCAATAGCCACGGAAAACGGAGAAGACGAATGCACGAACGGCGCCGTTCGAACCCTAGCTTTCGTTCCCAAACTGAACAAACCACCACAACCCTAAATTCGTTCCAACCCCCAAATGGGCTTAACCCGTTCACGTTGCCTCTGAAGCCCAAATACATATTTACTTCTTTTATTTTATCTAACACTAACCTTTTATTTTATTTTATAAACATATTTTCTTCTTTTGTTTTTCTTTTGAAAAATACTAATCTTTTTTTATATAAACAAATGTTTACTTTTTCCACTCTTTGTAAAAATACTAACTTAACTAAAATGCTTTTTATTTATAAGGTTAAGACATTTTTTAGATAATATATTTTGTACATAAAAATAACCAAATACTTTTATACATAATTAACTTGAAAATATTTCTTAATACACATTTGCATATAAAATAATACATATTATTTTTATCATATAATTAAAATTGAAAACCTTCTTTTAATTAAAATACATTTGTACATATTATACATAATTAAAATTAAACTTTTTAATTAACATTCTTTATACATAACCATTTAAATACATTTTTCTCTAATATCTAAATTCACAAACATTTTGACTAAAATACTCTTGTAATTAAAACTTAGCACTTAGGTCAAAACCCTAATACGATTCAACTTCACAATTCGCACCTGTACATAATTACATATACACAATTCACATACATATACACTTGTACACAAATACATACACATTTCCCTATGCACATGTTCATCTTACATTTATATTGGATATTCATTTGATCGCGACATTCGATTTGGTTGTAAATTATTGGGTACTATAAAGTCTCATCCCCTTGTACATTTATACCCCCACTCCCGGACATTATTTTGTAATAGCGTAGATTTACATTCCGCAATTTACAGCTTTTCAATTATACCATGGTTAGACCTAGGGTTTGTATGTACATAAAATCAAACGCTAGATAACCTAATACAAAGACAAATGCATGTAATCAATACACAATCACACTTGCACCCCCTAGGGTAATCCCACATGTTGCCTTCCAAATGGGCCATGCTTGCACGTCGAATGTCTTTGGCAAAACAAAATCAAATGATCATAAGTCCCTCGATGACGCTTTCGAAAGTTGCCTAAACGGAATGATCATAGTCCCTTCAAGCAAATTGCCAAAGACACTTGGCATCATTGCATTCATGGTCCATACGATGACCCGCGCCCGTCCCGAATAAACTTCCTAAACGCAAGATTGTCCATCAATTTCAATGGTGGAACAAAATTGTTAAAAGGGGTTAAAACATGACAAAAAACCTTTGAGTACAATAGGGTAGACAAAACTCTTAGTTACTTGAGATCAAAACTTGCAAAAACACTTGCCTTCTTTTCAAAAACCACAATCCACAACACTTTCAAACAAACTCTCAAAAACATTTGAAAACATCTTTTCGAAAAGATTCACACTTTTGTAAAACACTCAAACACGAGTCAAATACATTGGTTGCCTAAGACAAGGCATCTTTTTCCTAAACATTTTCAAAAAGCACCCACACACACACCATTTTCAAAGCAATCGAAAAACAAGGCAAGTGATCTAAAAAACCAAGTAACTAAGAGCCCATGGATAACCATGGATGAAAAGGGTGCTAATACCTTCCCTTTTCATAATCTACCCCCCGAACCCACGAAATATCTCAAAAGGTTTTTGCTGTGCTTTTTTAACCTTTCCTTTAGGATAAAGTAAAAAGTCGGTGGCGACTCTTGCTAACCGCACAAGTGCGAATACGAACGCAAAACACTAGTCAGTTCTCCCACCGTATCACAGAACTGGCGACTCTGCTGGGGACTGTACTTTTAAAGTGGGGTTACCTTAGGGTTTAGATCACTTTTGTTTTCAATTGATTGCTTTGTTTGCTTTACATTTGTGGGCTTTGTATCGGAGTTCTATAGATCCTAACCCGGATCTGGGATATACCCTTTTTTAGGTAGCATAATCTGTGAGGGACCTGTCCGGCGTATACCGACATGGGTGAAGCAGTGGCTACGTTGGTGTGGCGTCTTGGTCTGTACCGATATCCCTCGTGTTCAGACGGGGAGAATATGGGTCTTCCAAGGAGTCATTAAGCACCAACCGACCTTAGAACCCTAAATTGACCAACTTGGCCATTAGAACAGTAGCAGTATGTTACACTCATTGAGGCTAAACTCTCGAGATGGTTCCGGCCGCGAGAAAAGGTTGCGATGTTGGAGTTATGACCGATTGAGGGTAGCCAATGATATGAGATCCTCTAGAACCCGGTTACTTTTGATAGGACAGGTTTTAACCAACAAACTGAAAGAGGGTAGTACCTGAACCTCATGCAAACCTAAACCTAAGGCTTTGTGTGCTTTGTGTGAATATTGTTTGCCTGTATATACACTTACTTGCCTGTGCATACATAACATCATGACATCATACCATAGCATTTTAGCATTTTCAGTAACCATTTCAAGAATCTCGAGGGTTCTGTTGATGCAGGGTTATGTTGAACCAGACATCTATCAAGGGGCAAGAGGTCCCTCCTCTAACCAATCCAGTCAAAAGATCAAGTACAACAGCTTGAATCAGTGGCTATGACCCATTCGACATGGTGAGCTTGATTCTCGTGGAAAGACATCCAACGACGCAAAGTTCTCCAATCAAAGTTCAAGTGCAACAACTTGAATCAGTGGCTATGACCCACTCGACATGGTGAGCTTGATTCTAGTGGAAAGACATCCGCCGGTGCAGAGATCTCCAATCCAAGAGCAGAGTTCAACCTCTAACATTCTCTTGTGTTTACCCCAAGAGATCCTTGAAAACATTGCATATATATCACACATATCATTGCATAACAGGTTTCTCCCCTACAGGTCTCCTTATTCTTCCTACTGTTTATTTCAGTAAGACGGATATGGAACAAACAGTGAAAGATCTTCAAGCTCAAAATGCTCAATTCCAACAAATGCTGTTGGCTATGGGTAAAGGGCAAGAGGATCTGACGGCTCTCCTTCTCAAAGACAAGAAGAAGAAGTCCAAAAAGGCAGCCCGCATCCTGAACTTGGGGAGAAGGCCTAAGACCCAAGACCTTGCAACTCCATCCAACACAGTGGTTAGTCTTGAAGAAAACCACGATGTGGAGATTGATGAAGAGGAAGCTGACTACTCTGAGGAACAATATCCTCTCACTGATGACAAGTACAAAGAGTTGGAGGATCGCCTTAATGCTATGGAGATCCAACAAATACCTGGCTTGGATTTAGGAGACATGGGCCTAGTGCCTGGTTTGGTCATCCCTTCAAAATTCAAAGTCCCTACCTTTGCTCTATACGACGGAGTTTCTTGCCCTAAGATGCATCTAAAGTCTTATGTCCGCAAGATTCAACCGTACACAGCTGATAAGAGGCTCTGGATCCATTTCTTCCAAGAAAGTTTGGTAGGGGCTCAACTCGAGTGGTTCTACCAATTGGAGAGTTCTCGCATCCATACCTGGGAAGATCTAGCCAAAGCTTTCTATGAGCAGTATCAGTACAATGCTGATCTGGCACCAACTCGTGTGCAGTTGCAGAACATGACCATGGGGGCCGACGAGAACTTCAAGGGATATGCTCAAAAGTGGAGAGATTTGGCTGGTAGGGTGCAACCTCCTTTGACTGACAGAGAGCTGATTGACATCTTCATGGGAACTTTGACAGGGCCTTTCTTCAAGCATTTAATTGGAAGCTCCTCAGCTGGGTTCACCGAGCTAATACTGACTGGCGAAAGGGTCGAGGCTGGCATCAAGAGTGGAAAGATCCAAGGAGCTACAACCTCCGATACTCAGATAATTCCCTACAACGGAAAGAAAGAGTCTAATGCTGGGAACAGTCAAAGGAGTCGTCATGATCAACACGCAGGGGCAGTCCTGATCTCTGGTTCTACGTCACGCCGACAGCAGCCGAGGGGAAGTCAACAACGACCAGACGAGCCTAAGAGACAGTTCACCAACATCAACATGCCGTTGTCTCAAGCACTACGACACTTGTTGAAGATGAATCTGATTGCATTGATAGGGCCTCATCCCAACCCCAAGACTTCATCTCCTAGCTACAATCCTAATGCAACTTGTGCTTATCATTCTGATAGTCCGGGACATGACACTGACGACTGTTGGGCTTTGAAGTACAAGATTCAGAATTTGATTGATGCCAAGGAAATTGAGTTCGGCCCTCCAGAGGCCCCAGCATGATCACTGCTTCTAGGACAGCTAACTGAGAGGCTTTTGCTTCATTTGAATTTTCAAAGTTGTAATTTCTTTTGCTGTCAAACAATTATCTGTTGATGTCAAACTCTGTTTTCATTAATGCATTGCATATGTTTGTCTTGAATTCATACATTCGTTTTCACTACTCTTATGCTTTTCTTTATGATATTTGACTCTTGATAAAAAGCTGCAAGCCTTTAGAGGGAGGATGACGAAACAATACCGTGATCTTATACAGTATGCTTTTGAACAGACCTTGCTGATGATGTACAGGCATTTCTTTCAATTCCCAAACACTGGAGTTATAAGGAAGTTAATCCCTAGTCAACCCCTTCGAGCCAAAGAAGTAGGAGTTTTCTGTTCTAAACAATCAAAACCTTTGATATAAACCTGGGGCAGGGTAGTATCTCAGTTAATTCAAGAGAGAACGCGCATTGAAGTCGCAAACTCTCAGTTCGTAATACAACGAACGACGTCGAAAAGAGAAAGCATTCCTTCGGAATCAAAAGACAAGGGTGGTTCCCTATCACATAGACAGTCAGTCTCTCAAAAGAGAAAAGCCCACCAAGCCAAAACCTATGAAGGAGGCTTAAGAAAGCTGGGGCATCCCGCTGACAGTGATCCCGAAAACGGTAACAGTCAGGCAAAAGTTAGGGATAACAAATCAAAATCAAAATAGTGAGGTCATTACAAAATCCTCAACAACATGAAAAGTGTTGTGAAAGAAAAAGGAGATGATGACTGTCTCCCAATTTCAAATTGGTGAACCATCGCCCAAAAGTCGTTCCAAACTCAAAACGGAGTGCGACGCACAGTTAACTGAGCTTAGGTTGAAGAACATCACGAAGAGCGGGTGGGTACAAATATACTTTGAGCCTTTATCTTTTGTTTCTTAAACCGTGAACCAGGCCACGTTACAACCCTCCAAAAGTCCTAATTGAAGCATGGGTTAGTTCGAAAGCGTACTGTTACAAAAGGTATCCTGACTCCTGTAGGGCTTTGCTCTAAATCTCGTGTTAACTTGTCTTATGAAAAAGTTTTCTGCTAAAAACGCATTTTTCAAAACTTCGAGACAAACATAAACTTTGCATTATTCGAATATCACTGTCTGCATTTGACCCTTTTGTTTGACAGCGAAGAAATTCATACAGCGAATGTTCGGAGGAACGAAAACTCTCTCAGCAAGTCAAAATCACTTCAAAAGGATAAAACTTCCATCAAATCTCCTATCAACAAAGGGGCATGACATAGCACAATTCAGTTAACCTGGGGCAGTCCAGTCAAGGTCCAACAGATCTTTCAAAGTTCAGTTAACCTGGGGCAGTCCAGTCAAGATTTCAAGAAATCTCTCAATATGCAGAGTAATCTGATTCAAGATTCCTTCATCACCACTTGGGGCATTCGAATGTCAAAAGTGTTCAAAACCGATGCAGTTTTACACGGACTCATCATGAAGCAACCCTACACAGGTTCCTTCTCAAACTCCAGATGCAGTTTTACACGGACTCATCATGAAGCAACCCTACACAGGTTCCTTCTCAAACTCCAGATGCAGTTTTACACGGACTCATCATGAAGCAACCCTACACAGGTTCCTTCTCAAAAACCGATGCAGTTTTACACGGACTCATCATGAAGCAACCCTACACAGGTTCCTTCTCAAACTCCAGATGCAGTTTTACACGGACTCATCATGAAGCAACCCTACACAGGTTCCTTCTCAAACTCCAGATGCAGTTTTACACGGACTCATCATGAAGCAACCCTACACAGGTTCCTTCTCAAAAACCGATGCAGTTTTACACGGACTCATCATCAGCAACCCTACACAGGTTCCTTCTCAAAACTCCAGATGCAGTTTTACACGGACTCGTCATGAAGCAACCCTACACAGGTTTCTTCTAAAAAACCGATGCAGTTTTACACGGACTCATCATGAAGCAACCCTACACAGGTTCCTTCTCAAAAAAACCGATGCAGTTTTACACGGACTCATCATCAGCAACCCTACACAGGTTCCTTCTTTCAACTTACAATTCAACACATCTCCAGTAATTATCCATCCTACCTCCAAATGGCATCTATAAGCCCATTCCCGAGATCAAGTGCTTACAGCAATCAGAAAATTCTTCCCATCCCCAGCGGAGTTCATCAAAATTCCCCAGCAGATCAAGAGCTTCAAGTGGACAATCCCCAGCGAAGTCAGACTTTTAAATCTTCTCCCCACAGAGTTTTTAGAAGGACAAATCTTGAGTTCCCCAGTGAAGTCTCCGGAGTTATTTCCCATCAAGCTAACAATTCTCAAATCTGACCTCCCCAGCACGAGTCTACTAGTTGGAACTCCCCAGTAGAGGTCATCAGGAATTCTCTTCCCCAGCAACAGCCAAGGATTTATTTTCCCCGGCAGCAGTCAAGATGCTTTTATCTTCAGCCATCTCGGATTCATGTATCCTTGGCAAGATTAGCTCATCAGCTTACATGCGCATTCATTACATTCATATCATAAACATTAAATGTCACATGCATTGCATCATGCATCATAACATTGCATACAACTAACCCTTCACCTTTTCAGGTAAGATCAGTCGACAGACACAGATCAACTCCCAGGATTCATCCAGAAATAGTTCAGATGTGACCCGAACACGGCGACATTCTGATACTTATTCCAGATCCATCCAGACGCATCATCAGGAAACCCTACACCGGTTCCTCTTCAACTTCAAGATTTCTGAAAACAGTTCACGGGTTCTCCAAGTAAACGGATGCTAACCTATCACTTGTTCAGATTCTTCTTTAGTTTACGGATTCTTCCCAACAACGGATGTCAATCTACCGACTGATTCAGACTCTTCTCAATTTTTGAAAATAGTTTACGGACGTGTCCCAACAACGGATGCTGCTCTATTGCTTATTCAATCTCAAATAGTTTACAGATTCTCCAGACACGGCCATCAATCTGTTGCTTGTTCAGACCCCAGTTCAGAGATATTCCAAAACAGGGATGCCCTTCTGATACTCGTCCACTCACCAATGACGTACGGTTCAACATCACCATATGGCATCTATAAGCCCATCCCCCTACCAGCAGTCGCCGAATGGCATCTGTAAGCCCATTCTCAGATGGCATCTCTAAGCCCATCCCCCGACAAAATTCTCTCGCACCAGATGGCATCTTTAAGCCCATCACCAAATGGCATCTTTAAGCCCATTCACCTCCACCGTCACATTGACGAGCGCAAATTTTCTGGGCACATTAGTGTTCAATCTCCTTTTACCTTCAAGTCGCGAAAGGCAAACTTGCCAATCTAACTCTTCAGGTCCAAGAAGATTGAACAGGGGCAACTGTTGTACCCCAAAATTTGCCCTCGCGCTTTTCCACAAAGAAGTCTCAGCTTCAAGCATTTCCTGACTTCTCAAACTGGCTCAAGAATCGTACAAACGGACTTTTCTTGACGGTCAAGCAAAACTAGGGTTTTTTACTGATTTTCAGAGCTCTGAATTGTTTCATACAGTGGGCTTAGGGTTTGATTGATTTTTGGTTCAATTTTGATCAAGCGAGCGTGATTTGGCATTTAATCGGGAATTAGGGTTTTACGGGCATATTCTCAGAAGAATTTGAATTCCATGGCACTTTGCGGTTTATTTCAAGATTCGGATCAAAATTCGCATTATCTTGGTTTAATCAGCAAAAGAGACAGTGGTTTTGAATTCAGTACGTTTTGATTGGGCCAGTCAGATACAAGTCTTGAATTCACAGTGTTTATGTGTTGATCAGTTTACTTGGTTTAATTGCTGCTTTGCTTTGGATGTTGGATAAGACAGGTTTATTGGATTAATGTTGTTTTATTTTAGTTATTTATTATTCTAAAATTAAATGATTGAATTTATTTTTCAATTGTTTTAATTCTAAGAATTTTAAATAAATAAATAAACAATAAAGAAATCAGAATTAATTGGATAATTTAAACTTTTATTGATATTTGAATTATTTGTACAAATTGTTGTTTATTACAAACAAATAATTTACATTTAATTTAAATATTACATAGAATTAAAATTATCCTATTTTCTAAACATTCTCCGTTCTTCATTCCGCTCCGGTATTCCATTTTTCATCTGCAAAAAGAAAGAGAAACAAGAAAAGTCAAAAGCAGTTAATTGGAAAAGACAGTTAAATTGCTCATCATTAGGGGCCACTGACTGGGATCAGTTACCCTCTCTGCAAATCACGGGATTTCTCCCGGTTCACAGAGAGGGAAGATTATTTTATCTCATGAAATGCAAATGTCAAATGCATAGTTTCTAAAAATTGCAAGCTGCATAGAATCAATGTCCAATTCAAACCATGTATTTCAAATCCAAACTGAAAAAGTTCAAATCCAAACTTTCAATCCAAAAACAAAGTCCACCCAAAGAAAATCAATAAAAGCATAAAGCTGTCAAAGAAGATTTGAGGAAAAGATGTCAAAATGCAAAATCTGTCCAAACTGTCAAAAAGTAGATGCAGTAGTGTATGATGCAAACTATCTTTTTCATCATTTCCCACAAAAGCCCCTTCAGAACAGTACAGAAAAATCATATTAAAATCCTAAGCTGTACTTTGAGAGAGAGAAAAGAGATTAAAGCAAGCAGGGTTTAGGCATAGTTCAGGCTCAGCAGTCCAATGGCAGTCCAATAGCAGTTCAATAGCAGACAGCAGGCAGGTGAGAAGAGAAGAAAAAAAAGATATACAAAAGATATCCAATAGCAGTTCAACTCAGTTCAAAAGATATAGATAGGGATACCAATATAGCAGCAGGGCAGGTTAGGCAGAAGCAGGCAGGATAGAGAGGAAAAAAAGATACAAGAACATACAAACTCAGAACCTGCATTGGCCTGAGACTTCAAAAACCCAACCTACTGTAAAACTCAGAAATAAAAACAGCATAAACCTCATACCAGCATATACCTCAAACCAGCATCAATGCCTTAACCTGCCTGTCAAAACCTCACATAACATGCTATCATAACCTCAAAACCCTTACCCTGTAAAACATCAAGCTGAAACCTGCATATGCTAAGCCAAACAATTAACCATCACAAGCAAAAACCTGCCAAAGATTGAAACCTGAACAACCATCAAACATGACCAAAACAAACCTGCTAATGCCACAATCCTAACCACCAAAAAAGACACAAAACTGATATCTCAAACTCAAGCCTCAACCTTCAAACAATTTTTACATCCTGATAATCCAAACTCAGAACTCAACCAAAACCAATAACCTCATGTCCAAACTGATCCAACACTGAACATTCCAACACCTATGCCTTCAGAACCTTTTCATCATTAGGCAACACACAGGGCAACGAGAGAAAGAAGCAAGTCAGGGACACAAGCAAATCATCCCAAGGCAACAACACAAAGGCAACAATCCAAGGCAACTGTGAGAGAAGAAGCTATCAGAAGTTCATCAAGGCACACTATTTCCAAAACCAAACATAAAACCCTCAGAACTTTGAGTTCATCACAGGGTCGGGGATCAAACACTAAAAAGCCTATCGATCTCAAAGGACCAGCAGCAACACTCAAGTCAACATAATCAACATAAGCTGGCATACAGCAATACTAAGGGACAGAAGTAGAAGAGGCAAAGTGGATAAAGAGATACAGAAGTACCAAGTGTCTTCCAAGGCCAGCTTCACCGTACAAGCCCTCCAGCGCTGAGCCTCCTGAGCATCCTCCTCCTCTTTCTTCCCTCCATCCAGGTAGTCTTCCCTCCTCTCTTAATTATACCACATGCCTCAGGACACAACAGTAAATTGGAGTTAGAGTCAATAACCAAAATCACAAACGCACAAAATTGTAAAAACCCTAACGAAATTAGGAGAGCATCTGTACCTTAGATCGATTGCCTTGATGACGTCGTTGGGAGGAGAAAGAGGTGGAGGTCGCTGGTATGCTCAGGCGGAGAGACTTGGTCCAATAGCCACGGAAAACGGAGAAGACGAATGCACGAACGGCGCCGTTCGAACCCTAGCTTTCGTTCCCAAACTGAACAAACCACCACAACCCTAAATTCGTTCCAACCCCCAAATGGGCTTAACCCGTTCACGTTGCCTCTGAAGCCCAAATACATATTTACTTCTTTTATTTTATCTAACACTAACCTTTTATTTTATTTTATAAACATATTTTCTTCTTTTGTTTTTCTTTTGAAAAATACTAATCTTTTTTTATATAAACAAATGTTTACTTTTTCCACTCTTTGTAAAAATACTAACTTAACTAAAATGCTTTTTATTTATAAGGTTAAGACATTTTTTAGATAATATATTTTGTACATAAAAATAACCAAATACTTTTATACATAATTAACTTGAAAATATTTCTTAATACACATTTGCATATAAAATAATACATATTATTTTTATCATATAATTAAAATTGAAAACCTTCTTTTAATTAAAATACATTTGTACATATTATACATAATTAAAATTAAACTTTTTAATTAACATTCTTTATACATAACCATTTAAATACATTTTTCTCTAATATCTAAATTCACAAACATTTTGACTAAAATACTCTTGTAATTAAAACTTAGCACTTAGGTCAAAACCCTAATACGATTCAACTTCACAATTCGCACCTGTACATAATTACATATACACAATTCACATACATATACACTTGTACACAAATACATACACATTTCCCTATGCACATGTTCATCTTACATTTATATTGGATATTCATTTGATCGCGACATTCGATTTGGTTGTAAATTATTGGGTACTATAAAGTCTCATCCCCTTGTACATTTATACCCCCACTCCCGGACATTATTTTGTAATAGCGTAGATTTACATTCCGCAATTTACAGCTTTTCAATTATACCATGGTTAGACCTAGGGTTTGTATGTACATAAAATCAAACGCTAGATAACCTAATACAAAGACAAATGCATGTAATCAATACACAATCACACTTGCACCCCCTAGGGTAATCCCACATGTTGCCTTCCAAATGGGCCATGCTTGCACGTCGAATGTCTTTGGCAAAACAAAATCAAATGATCATAAGTCCCTCGATGACGCTTTCGAAAGTTGCCTAAACGGAATGATCATAGTCCCTTCAAGCAAATTGCCAAAGACACTTGGCATCATTGCATTCATGGTCCATACGATGACCCGCGCCCGTCCCGAATAAACTTCCTAAACGCAAGATTGTCCATCAATTTCAATGGTGGAACAAAATTGTTAAAAGGGGTTAAAACATGACAAAAAACCTTTGAGTACAATAGGGTAGACAAAACTCTTAGTTACTTGAGATCAAAACTTGCAAAAACACTTGCCTTCTTTTCAAAAACCACAATCCACAACACTTTCAAACAAACTCTCAAAAACATTTGAAAACATCTTTTCGAAAAGATTCACACTTTTGTAAAACACTCAAACACGAGTCAAATACATTGGTTGCCTAAGACAAGGCATCTTTTTCCTAAACATTTTCAAAAAGCACCCACACACACACCATTTTCAAAGCAATCGAAAAACAAGGCAAGTGATCTAAAAAACCAAGTAACTAAGAGCCCATGGATAACCATGGATGAAAAGGGTGCTAATACCTTCCCTTTTCATAATCTACCCCCCGAACCCACGAAATATCTCAAAAGGTTTTTGCTGTGCTTTTTTAACCTTTCCTTTAGGATAAAGTAAAAAGTCGGTGGCGACTCTTGCTAACCGCACAAGTGCGAATACGAACGCAAAACACTAGTCAGTTCTCCCACCGTATCACAGGGACATATTAAACACTCTGTTCCAATCTTGTGGCAATGAACCAAGAATTCGAGCAGACTTTCATCAACTTTTGGATAGACTCTATACAATTGGTTGTCTTGCCTCCAGTTGACCCCTGTTCGTTCGCGCTGGGCCCTTTCGAACTCAGCAACAATTCTGGGGTTGCAGATGATACTGCACCTTGGGCACAACAACTTATCCTGGTTTTTCTTATGATAGTGGAAGAGGTATTCGCGCAAACTCGCGTATTTTATAGGTAAGTTCTCTCTTCTTTGCTCTCTCTCCCTCTTCAAACAGCGTTCCACTTCTTCTATTTCAGCGTTGGGCTGTTCGAAGTCCACCATATTTACTCCCAACATTTGACCATCAAAAAATTTGACTTCTTCAAATTTCATCCTGAGATCCTCAGTGGCCTCAGTTAATTTTTTGTCACTTAGTATCTTTGCTTTGAGCACCTTTGGGAGGCCATCAATAGCCTCTCTTTCGTTCTTGACCAAGATGAAGTCCCCATCCTCTTCGAATTCCACTTTCGATTCAACTTTCCTCTCAGCAATTTCTACTACATTGATGTCCAGAGGTTCAGCATAGTTAGTCTCCGCCATCAGCAACGGATCCGTATCAACTTTCATTGGATTCTTCCCTTTGTCTGAGAACTTCAGCCTACCATCTTTGATTGTGTTTTGTATCAGATCCCTGAAAAGAAAACATTGTGAGGTTTTATGGCCTAAAAAGTTGTGATATTTACAAAATCCCCTCTTCTTCCTTTGTTCCAACGGAGGAATCTTAAGGTTAGGAGGAACTATTAACTGGCCATCTTTAATAAGCAGATCAAATATTTCATCACATTTAGTTATATCGAAAGTATAGATTTTCTTAGGGAATTTATCATTCTTTTCACTTTCGACAGAATCCTTTCCATTGGAAGGAAACAAAACTTTGCAAGCATAAGGGGTGCTTCCTTTAGTTCTGCAAGATCTATTTCGAACTGATCGAAATCATAAGGGTCTTGAGAATCATCTATGTTCTCCTCTTCAGCCTCTATGTAGGCTATTCTCTCTTTCTTATGATTTTTACTAGCCCTAGCCTTTTCAGATTTTAACCTTTCGACCTGACGAACTCTGTCTGCTAGTTGGGCCATATCTCTAAGATACTGTGTATCCAATTTCTTTCGAATGGAATAATCTAGGCCCCCAGCATCCATTTCTACCAATTCATGTTCAGGGACCACTGTGAAACATCTAGATTTTAATAAACGGAACCTATTCAAATAATCATCTATTGGTTCCGTGAATTTTCTCTTAATGCTTGCTAATTCTTTGAGACTAATTTTAGACTGACCCATGTAAAATTGTTCATGGAAAAGTCTTTCTAAATAAGGCCATGTGTCCACAGATCCAGGGGGTAGGGTAGTGAACCAAGTAAAGGCGTTCTTAGTTAGAGAACTTGGGAAGTATTTTATCCTAAGATTTTCATTATTTACTATATCTCCTGCTTCGGTTAAATATCTCACTATATGTTCCACTGTTGATTCACTCGTGTCTCCATCAAATTTCGTGAATTTAGGGACTTTAAAGCCCCTGGGTAATTCTGTTTGCAGAACATAGTCTACAATAGGAGATGTGTAATTTGGCCTCCTAAATCCTGAATTTAAACCATTCTGGGCCATTATTCTTTCGATCATGGTGGTGAGGTTATTTTCTGCCACTAAATTGTCATTTCTAATTCTATGAACAATTTCGTCTGCATTTTGGTCCCTATTCACCATCATTATTGGTCTAGGTTGTTCATTCTGAACTTCCTGAACTTCCTGGTTCCTTAATCGTACCTCTATATTTCTCTCTTCGACCATTTGTATGGGGGGTCGAATTTGTTCGATCGTGGGTTCTTCGTTTCGAATCACCACTGGGTTTTGCCTACGTCTCGCAGGCGCATCAGGGGCACCAAAAAAATATGCTATTCTGGCCATTTGGGCTGCATTTTCTTGGTTTGTTCTATTTATATTATGGATTAGAGGATTGAAAATAACATTCATTTCGCGGGCTAGGATTCCTACCATATCATGATTGCTATCATCCATCTGTTGCCTAAGCGCTGCTTGACTATTAGTTGTAAGGGTAGGAAATTGGGCGAAGTTTCCTATATTCTGGGAATTTGTACCCAAATGGTTCATTCCTGAACCAGATCCTTGGAGTGGGGACGAAGTTGATGCATTATGTAACCCTTCCATAAACGAAGTTGGCATTCCATACGGAGGGTTTCTGGGTCTCAAAGGTTCGAAACCTGGAGGCCTAGTGGGGGTCGAATACTGCTGATTCCCTACATGTGGCACAGTTTGCATTGATGACATGTTTGATGGCATTTCTAATGTACTTACTGGGACCGTATTCTAACTTCCAACAGGGATGGTATTGGAGGCATCAATCGAACTTGAGACGATTGTTGCAGCCCCCTGTGGGGGATTTTGTCCCCTATCTTGGTTGGTTGTGTTAATCATTGTTTTGGTACGTTGTCTTCTGGGTATATGTGGATTATTATTCTTTATTTTGCCGCTTCGGAGGTTCATGTACCGAAACGCGCTCCAAACTCAGAAGATCCTAAAATTCTCTAATAGGTTTGATCAAACTTTTTATTATGACACTGTCCCACCAGGTGTGCCAATTTGTTTACAGTGATTTCTAGTAAACAACCGCTAGTCTTCCAATTTATTGATTATTATTGGTTACTTGCAGGATCGACTAGATTGATCCAAGGACACATGTGTCATAACTCATTTCTATGTTCATACCCATTATCTTGATAAATTTATATTGTAT